CCCCCCCCCCGTACGATAGAACTGTAAAATAGCGTTGGGCGAACGCGCGCGAGCTGAGTTACGCGCGGCAACGCGTATATTTATTCAGATACACGTGTCCGCGCATCTCGTTCATTCACGATGCCGCGCCCGTTGCCGCCCGTCCGATCGCTCACAATGGATTATTATATGCGTTTCGCACGCATCCGGGACGCATTTTCTCTTTCATTGCTTTTTCGCGCGATGGGATTAAAATGTGACACGCACGCGCGCGGGTTTCTGTTTTCCACCGCGAACAACATTTGCCCGCCAAACAACAGCCGCCCCGTATTGTCAGTGGGGGGAAAAAAAAGAAGAGCGCAGCTGACCGAGAAAATGGATGTGTCAAAGCCGTCGCGGAATTTTCGCCGAACGCAACGAGCTGAAAAGATCGAATGGATGGAGAAACTCGTGGTACCTTATATAGCCCGAGGCAGGATTCGCGGCGCTGTTCCCATGGCGAAAATCATCGTCGATATCTAAAACGTTCGCCAGTAAACTCTTACTGCTCCTCTCCTGCAGCTCCAGCTCCTTCATCCGATTACTCATGAGGATGGTCTTCTTCGTGATCTTCTTGCCCGGCCGACTCATGCGCAACACACACGGCAGCCATTGTAGAAACAGTAATTTAATCTGCATGAGAACACATGGAATTATTGACTCGTTAAACTTCGTAACTGTATCGCGCATCGTGTATCGCCGCTCTCCAACAAAAATTCCTCGCAACTTCATTCCCCTGAATCTCTCTCTCTCTCTCTTATAACGAGAACGAAAAACCGTTCAGAAATTGGAGAGTATAGAATTTTAAAGTGGCGTCCGCGCGCGCTCATCATATTCAAAGTTTGATACTTTCCAGGGATTTACAATATGTAGTTTAAGCCACGAACACTTTGCGATAAGCGTCACTCTAAGGGATAGCCGAGCGTTTCTTATTTTGAATATATTCTAAAATGAAAGATACGAGAAATTCCCAAGTTACGATATCTTTTATATTCTACATTACCGTTCAGAATAATTTGTCTTGCCGTGACACAGCGGCTTCTTTCAATGATCAATACCGTGAAATATTTCAAATATCTGTATATTTTTACTCCTTTAATGATACAACATTAAAAAAAAAAAAATCGTAACTATACTCTCTAAATCTGAATCAGTGGATAGTCGCAGATTATCAATGGTCATTGAATGCATCAGTTTCAAGTATGTCACTGGTAATCAGTGAAATTCAACTTCATTGTCTCTCGGAAATCACTAATAAATAAGTGAATAATCGCTATAATCGTTGACAAATCAGTGGACTTCGCTGTTCTCGCTAATTGCACAGCGGATTCCCTCTGTTTCACTTATTCATTAACGATGCAAGGCGTTACTGAGTCAATCAGTGACTTTTCCACTGATTCAGATTTAGAGAGTAAAATATTTACTCGGTAAATTTTAAATTTTGGCTTCTTTTATATCTAAACATGATAGCCGAATTGTATGTTTTTTTAGCGGAATAATCAAATTAAAAATTCTATGCAATATCATATTATATTGACGTATTGTGCAAATACACACTACGGTGTTTTGTAAACGCGGCGTACTTGTTTGAATCTGAAATATCCAAACAATTCACATGTACTGTGTTGACTTGCATGAAGAAACTTGCACTAACCGACTGCCGCTGGCCGAGAGTGAGTAATAACACCTCGAAGGCATTTTAAACTTCCAAGAAAGCACCGTTTCCAAATAGTAGTAACAAGCCACACCGCGAAGCTTACCGTACAAAACATATTGCTAACCATTACGCGAAGTATCCTTTGCGTGCAACGGTTTGAATTATTTCGCATTGTTCCGAATTCGTGAAAGCTGCCTCTGATTTTTTTTTTCGTAACAATTTCCACTTGCTTTAAATAAGGCAATAGAAATATTAAGATATAATTTGTTAATTTTATTAAAATTTGAATATTCCGTTGAAAATAATGATAAATTAAAAAAAATGGATCTGATAAACGCTTATATACACGGAAAGCACAATTTTGCTGAACCAGATCTGAAAATAATTTTTGTTCAATAATCAAAATAATTTTGTGGGAAAGTCAAAATGATTGCTAGAATATCAAAACATTTTATAGCAATGCTTATCAGCATTTTAACATTCATGTTATTTTAACATTTCAACAAATTATTTTGATGATTCAACAAACAATTATTTTCAGATCTGTATTTAGCAAAATTTTCAGACCTTTCAATAAAATCGTTCTTTCCGTGCATGATCGTATTTTATCATCGCGATTGTAAATTATATTGTACAATTTCGAAATTGTTGCTTATTCAATTATAGAGCGTAATAGAAGGCAATTAAATTTGTAACAATTTCGATATAATGCCACTACAACAATGACGAAAGCAAGTGGAATCTTGTTTAATCCGTTTAGTTAAGCAGCTTACTCCGCTATGTATCTAAAATGATTAACCTTTATTCAAATAAAATATTTTACCGCACGATCGGCCAAATCGTTCTTTCAGAGCAAATTAAAAAAAGATCCGACTGCACTGTGTGATGGTTTAATTAATTTTCTTTTAAGCTGGTGTAACGATACGCGTTACAATCCGTTCTACAAAGACTGCGCGAACGATAGACAATTTCAACTGGATAGAAAACGCACAAAGTTACAAAGAGAAGGATAAATAGCTGCGCGATTATAATGATTACATTTATCAACGTTTATTAGCGTTTATTTATTTATTTATTAGCGTTTATTTAGTTATTAGAGTCATTTGTTTCAAAATTCGAAATTACCGTTTGTTTATTTCAACATTGCGTCATTAATAATACACGCTACATTTATCACATTTATATTATATACTGTTATTTATCGTTAATTAGAGTCAACTATTTGCGATATAGTCAATTCAATTGTACATATTTTCTTACCCAATTTGGCATCACGTATCTGTCGGGCGATCTGTGATGATAGTTGAGCACCAGAACGGTCAGCACGACGCTGCTCGCCACCATGAACATGATGCAATTGAAGTATGATCCTGAATCGAGGCGATTCCCGAAAATCCCCCGAAGAAAAAATACAAAAAGAAGGCGATTAGTCACGGAAATATTTGGATCGACGATGCTTAGCAGCCTCGTTGAGAATGAAAGATTATTCTCCTGGATTCTCTTTAGTTCGGCTCAGATCGTAATCGTCTTCCCGCTCGCGAATCTTTTTACTTGATACCATCCGTTCCATTTTTGTGCTCGACATACATATTCGATAATCTTTCATTCGCTTAGTACGAGACGTACGAGTGCTCGCGCGTTTTCCGGTGCGCGCGGAGAGGCTCAGAAATTCAGACATCGCGGGAGAATGTCCGCGTCTGTGAAATGTTTTTTACGCGAATCGCGCTTTTTCAAAGAGAACAACGCCGCTCTTTTTAATGCGATATCTTCACGGATTTCCTGATATTATATTTATCGAACAGGAGTGCGCTTTCAATTCGCTCGGGCCACTTGGGCAGTTATGCCTTCTTTTCTATTCTCTGTGCAATTCCCGTATCGTACATTAGCCCTTTTTATCTTCAAGCCCTTTTTCTCTTCCTGCCGGGGAGGGCTTTTCTTAGAACGCCCTCGCCGATTTCTCTATGCTCTAGTAGTATAGTGAACAGCACAGCGAGTATTACACACGGAACATTCTCCAGACGCGGCGAGAATTCGAGCCCCTCCGTGCGAGTGAAGACACACACGCCACGATGACACACTCGCAGTCACAACACACCGACGGTTCAGTGCCATCCGAATGGACCTGTCACGGGAATCGACTCTTGCGACTCACACTCGAGGCGAAAGTTGTGAGAGAAACAAAGAGACAAGCGTAATAAGCGGTATTATTGCTCGGTAATATAATAATCGGGACAGATTAACACATATAGACAGAGATAGAAAGCTAAAGATAAAAGCACGCATATACATGAGTAAGAATATAGCATACGCATTACATTCAGCAACAAAAATATCTACAGGACACGCCGGAGAGGCGTCTACGAGATATTCCTCCAGGTGTTCCTTTACGCGCTTTTCGCACTTCTACGTTATTTGAGCAGGCAATAAAAAAAAAATGTCTAAGGAATGTGTCGCAAAGATAGCCGAAGGACGTTCTAATTTCTGTTGAAAACGTTCTTTGGATATCCCTCAGTTTTTTTCTCTCGGACTTTCGTGAGACTTATATTCAAGCGGATTCACTCATCTAACGGGATTCTCTAACATCTCTAGAATTTCTACAGTGGATATACATCGATACGCGTAACCCAGTTCACCTGCTGAAGTTACGCTGAAGTCAGCGTTTCTCATTTCGCCGGAACGGTGAGGGGGGGTAACTTACGTACGTCAGTTTTCTTGGTGTTAGATAAGCGAAAATAAGAAAATTGAGAGTAGAATGTACTTACTTGCGCGCGGAGTACGTGTAGACGTGTTACGAAAGGGAGGAGGCAATGGTGTGTTGCGCAGAGAAATTTGCGACGGAGAGAAAACGCTTACGCTATCATGCAGCTATCGAAAAATGCAATTTTATCGAAAAGTATACACACAAAAGCCTTCGGGTAACCCTCTACAGGTTTGTCAACGACCCGCGGTATCTAATAATACTCAAGAAATACGCAAGAGTACACAGGGATGCATATCGTGAGAACGTTTAAGCTGCGGTTAAGACTACGCCAACTACGATCGGATTGGGATGCAGTTCATCTCTCGATTTTTATCATCGATGCGGCGACTATCTTGCGTCAATCACGATTAACACAGAATTCCTCAAGAAAGTCGTCTTGAAGCGTCGGGGGATCTACTGTAATCGAAGTTTGTTTCGATCGCAAGTGGTACGCATCAACGACAGTTAGTAAACACTTCTTTTTATTTTTCTATTAGTCTTATGTTACATATTGTAGCGGTTTAGAGAAGTTTATCTTCTCCCTCTCATGACGAAAATAATCAGCCCTATCGGCGCACATTTAAATTACTGTGTAAAACATTAAATCGATCTTAAAATCTCTTTAACGTTTCGTTATAAAATATTCCGGCGCCATGCTGTGAAATATTCTAATATTCCACTCTTCCCTCGGATTACTTTTTTTCACAAGTAAATAACTAAGCTTATTATAGCGGTGCAATCCGTGCAATGGTGTGTCGCGCGGACGCAAAAGGTTTCTCGCAAATTGAAAAGATTTTCGAACGGTACATTTTCATTTGCCTCGTCCTTCGCGCGGACGCACAGTCGAATATTTATCCCCCTTTCTGCATCTGCGAGGATTTGCTCGCATAATTCTAATTACGGGCCCCCGAACTTTCCCCTTAAATTATTAGATCGTCATGGCTCGGGCCATGGCGCGTGCATCCGAAATATACTACATCAAAGCGCAGAGACTCGCAAATGAGCAACTCCGAGCTGGGACGCGCACGCGCGCGAAAATAAAAAGAAGGAACGGGAGAGCTTCAAGTGGCGGCGAATAAAATGCTAAAAGGGTTGCCTTTTTAACTTCTCGTGTTATCTCGGCGGCTATGTTTAACGGCTCCATAAAGCTCCGGGCACGAGCGTCTTCAGGCTGTGATTAATCGCCGTGTACGAAAGCGCGGCTATCTCCTCTCGTGCCTTTATTAATGGATCCTTAAGACTCGCTTGCCATTACGTGCCAGCTGTATATTTATGACGTTTCGAGTTACTTAATCCTTCCATTGATCGTTCGCTGGAAATTTCGATCTATCATGAAAGCAAAATCGCTTGATTGATTTCGCAGGAACGGAAGCTGGACCGAGATGTAGGGAATTAAAACCTTAAAAGCAAAGATATCGAGTATCTTTATTTAACAGTGATATGTTATCTTCATTAAGTTAAAGCCAAGATAAATTATCGTCTAAAATTCAGTACGAAGAGATTCAGGATATTTTTTGTTTGATGCACTCTAACTCTGGTTTCGTTAAATCGTTTGATCTACAATTGGGATCTCTCTCTCTCTTTCCCTCTCCCCTTGAGAGAGGGATAATTGTTTATGTATATTTATTGATGGAAACATTCGTCGTTTTCATAAATAAATTTGTTTTTCATGGGTATTAGATCGAACGACGTATTCTCCCGAATTAAACATGATGCGGCGGTTTTTGCATTAATGCAGCATGAAGAGAACATTATACATTTCGGCGAAACTGCCGGTACGTGCGACATCATAACTAGCGATATTTACTTCAAATATTTGTTTCGTGTGCACGTAGGCAAATATGAACTGAGATAGCGGACAAAAATTACGTCCAATACGAAGCGTAAAGAGCATTTCGTTTTCTAGCTTTATTAACAGGCTCGTCCGATTGTTTGATCCGGTTGTGGCAGGGCCGAAAAAACTTTGGAAAATACATATTCCAACTTCGGCTGCGTGTACGCTTTATTTCAGCCGTCATATGCTCCAATTTAATTATATCCGATGAAATAGCTGACGTCGTCAAATTTCCAACTGACAGATAGGTCGTAATTTAAATTATTCCAGCGAATTAATTAGTTATTACATGCGTTGCAACGCCGGACCGGTTAATGTGATGGTTAATGGAGAATTTACGAATCATTGTAATGAACGTCGATGTTTCGCCGCTTTACGAAATAATTTGGTGAGAAAACAAACAATAATAACGCGTGATTGATGAATCGAAGAATCGCGTTTTCATGTTATAGCAAGTTACAATAGAAAACTAAAAATCCGGCACGGATTTTATTTTATATGTCAATTCTTTTCGCAGTTGTATACAAAGCAATTATTTTTCAAGAATTATTATCGGTTCGAATTACAAAATAATATGTCATTGAAGGAACTAAAGAAACGCGACGGAAAATAGACTTTTAAAGATATATATTTCGTTTCAACGCCGGCCTGACACGGTCTTTAATTGCGGTTTATAATTGCGAAGCGTTAAAAGTTTTACAAGCGGAATAACTTCCATTGAAGAGACGCTAGAGTGGCAATTTAAATTCTTCTCATTTTTACGGCTTTTAAGTTAATTTCCTTGAGTATATATATGTATATATATATATATATATAAACGGAGGAGGATTTCATTCACGTTACCATTCATGTAACTATGATGCTATTCACATCATCATCGACACCGTACTTTTAAAGAATTATCCTGTACCTGTTTCATAAGGAGTCTACGGTTTCATAATAACAGAGTTAAAGTTTTAAATAGATCTTTTCTGAACATAATTAAATTCTTATTTGATTCGTCCCAGTTTTAATGTATTCGCGAACATTTTATGTTCCAATTTCTATTTAACGTTTTAACGTACCTAGCATATGTAACACATATTAAAGTATACAAAACGGAGATTATTATATACACGTGTATATGTGTGTATGTGTATATATATATATATATATATATATATATATATATATAATTTGCGGAATAATGTAAGTATCAGATTAATATTGGATTTATGTTAATATCAGATATTACGGCTCTTGTGCAAGATAATAAAGATTGTCGACTCGCCGAAGAATTAATTATCGTCCTAGTCAGTATCATACCTGCGTAAACGATCGATCGTGGATAATTTTTGATAAGATGTGTTGCTCGTAGCACTTTCCGCATTCCCGCGTTTTGTAGAGCTTCCGTTAGTACTCCGAATGTAGCTCTACTTACGCGAACTAATTAATTTCATTATCGACGCTCGTTTTGCCCTTTTTTCGATTCCATTAACTAGTCCAAGGCTCTCGTCGTTCATCTCGTTTTCCGGATGCATTTCCTTTCGTCGAAAGCGCTTTTTTCCTTTCCCTTAATTACTTCGAGCGACTTGTCGATGGAGTAATTCGTCCGTTACACGGTTATATAACATGTCTCTCTCTCTCTCTTTCTCTCTCTTTCGTGCGTATGTCTTAGCAAATTGCATCCATCACTTTTTTATTATGAGCTTTACGTCCCCGTTCAGCGCGTCCGGCTTTACTACTTTACTCAATTTCCGCATTTACGTACGACTTGCGAAACTGACCCTTGGTTACTCAGAACGACCGGTTTTATC